CCCCTCTCTCTATCTTCTGCTCCTCTTGTTACTAACTCAGCACATCTGCGTTGATGCGATGGGCACACCGCGCCCGGGTTCAAGAAAATTCCCTCTGTTTTCATGAGATATGAATCCGACGCTTTAAACCGAAAATAAAATTGAAGCTTGGAAGCGTTATGAAATTGTTCTCAGCTTTCTGACAGCGTCGTACATGAGAATGCTCTAGGGAGTTTTCGAAAACGCCTCAAGAACGCACTGACATTGCAATTTTATTTTCGGTTTTATGCGTTTTCCTTACGCGTTTCGTTGCGCTACGAGGCTCTGGCCCGGCCTAACTCCACTCCACCCCGCAACACACCTCTCGCCCTGGGCTGCTGTTGCATCGCGCGTGAACGCGTAGCACACTGTTAAAAATTATGTTGTAAATTTACAACACATTTGATGTAAAGTTTGATAGCAACAAATGTTGTTAAAAAACAACACATGTTGTAATCCAACAACATTCACCAAATTTCCTGAAACGAATTTTCATTCCAAAACAGTGGTTATTTACTTTCGTCTGCACCAAAAAAATTGTAAAAAAACAAACTTGTTTGTTCTGTAACGATACATCTTGCTATCAAACTTTACAACGATATTGTTGTGGTTTTACAACATGGTGAAACGTGGGAATCATTGTTATGGACCACTACGAGCAAAATAGAAGGAATTTTGCCACGTGCCAATAAAAACGAACGATGTTGTTTTTTTAACACACTAGTCATTACAAAGGGTGTGATAAATTTACAATATTTTTTAACAGTGCAGATTTTTAAAAAGTAAACAGCTGAGGTAACGAAAGCCGTTCCTAACCCCCTGGGGGGGTCCAAGTAACTTGGAGGTGTAAGAGTTGTGGATGGAAGTGAGAGAGCGGGAAAGAGAGAGAGAGAGAGAGAGAGAGAGAGAATCAGGAAGAGAGAGTAAGAGAGAGGGAAAGAGGGGGAGGTGTGGCCACAGGTAAGGCCGAACCAGCAACATAAACATGGTAAAAAATGTCTCTCCAGAGATGGTGGGGGAGCTTCACGCCGACCAAACCCCTCCCTCCCGCTATTTCATTCCCCCTCGCCTTCCCTTCCTCTCACTCCATCCCCCGCGGAGTCCTCTCCCGCCGCGTCTCGCGCGTACAATGAATGGCCGCTCTTTCCAAAACTTTTCTCAAAAGAATTTTAAAGGCGAGTCGTCATCCTGATGACGCGGCCGACGCGCGCGCCGCCTGCCACGGAGTCTCCATCTGGTGGCGAGAGAGGAAGTGTTTCCCGCCGTATATGTCTATTTCACGGCAAGTCTCGTCGTCCCCGCGGCGCGGAAGGAGGGGGCGAGGTGGGGCGTGGTAGGGCACGGGGCAGCCGCTCTGCACTGCAGTGCGCGCTGCACAGCGCCGCTCCACTACAACTCGGGGCCGCCCGCCGCCGCCACTGCTGGCCGTTTTGCATTTCACACGCTTCCTCAGATATTCATGAGTTGGCCACGCTGAGGCTGCGCGCCGTACAAGGACGTGCAGACACACACGCGCCGTGCACTTCACACTCAGTTGTCGTCCTTTTAAGTTGGACAGAGTCGCCTGCGCTCCTTGTTCCAGGGTCTCTGCGGTGGCTCAGCCCGTGTGGGTCTGCTGTGTGTACCCGTGCCTGCCTCTCTGCCGTGCACGTCTTGTGACAACATCCGGACGCCCAGCTTCCTGTGGAGCACTAACTCTGCGCTTTATGAGGTAGGCTGAGCAAACGCCCGCTCTGGAAGTCCACGTGTGTACCATCAGGGCAAAAATAATTAAACCCCTCGAATGTCGACATTCCGTGCTGAAACGGTCGTGTTCATGAACACGAATATTCGAGAATTTAGAGTCCATTTTTTTACGTGCCTTCAAAATTCGGATCAGGACTCAACAAGACTCAACACTTTACACCCTTTTAAGGCTTTCATTTGGAGTGCGACCGTCATACCAGTTTCATAGGGGTTTCTGAACTGTCTGTCACGCGTATTCGCGTTTTAAAATAAACGGATTTAAATTTCCAAACAAAACTGTATCATTATACGAAAATATGCTGAAACTTAACAGCATGACGACGCTTGGTTTCCAAGCTGTCATTTTTTACCGTGTTCACGTGTACACACTTGGCTTTCCAGAGTGAGGGTGCTTATAGCAGCAAAGTTAAATACCTCATAGAAGAACCTGGAAGCACACCGACAGAGAGAGAGAAAGAGAGAGAGAAAGAGAGAGAGAGAGAGAGAGCAGTCTCGACGAGAGAGAGAGCGGATATGAAAGTAGACGAAACCGGAAGACAAATAATACTCAGGGATTCGGGTAATAAGCGCCTAGCAAGTAGGTCGGATAGAAAGAGAGAGCGCGGGGGGGGGGGGAGGTAGAGTGGGGAAGAAGAGGGTAGAGGAACACGCAGGCGAAAGGAAACGAGAATCGCCGCTGTTCACATGACCTAAAACATTCATTGCATGAATCTTTCCGTTTGCCTCTTCTCGAGTTAACAAGCCCGTGCTCGTGCCGCGGTCCCGACTGCGGCTACACTGTCCCGTCGGGACTTACCCAGTCGTGCGGCGAGAAGGGGGGAAGGAAGGAAGGGTGAGGGGGAGGTGAGAGGTAACATTTTCCAACCCCCCCTCTTCACGCTCGAACCCCTCCCTCTTCCCACCGGCACCGGCAGCGCCGTTTGCGTGAGGCCTAAGTATGGCTTGGCTCCACGCACTAAAGGGTGCCATCCCTCCTGGCGCGGCCTGCTGACCCCTGAGCCTCAACGGCCCTGCGCACGCATCGCAGGCGGACAATTTAGTCAGCGGTAGTTAATGTTAGTCAGCTTTAGTCACCGTTGGCCAGCTCAAGCCAGCGTTAGACAGCGTTAGCCCGAGACCAGACTCGGTCACTCCACGCCCTCGCATGGGAAAAAAATACCTGTTTTTCGCGGCGAGACTTCCCTCTCAACGCTTATATCCCATGGTCCGCGCCGCTGCACCCCTGCCACCCATCGCACCGCATCGTGAAAAGAACCCTTCCCCTCCCTCCCCCTCT